AAATGGACAAGAAGATATATGGAAATGTAATTTGTATTGTATTGGTTGTTGGCAAAATGATTTTAATACAGATTTAAGGATTTGGAATGGATTTGAAATTAAATGATTTTTATTCAAGGAATAATAAGATTTTGAACTGGTTTTTATTTTGAGAATGTAAACTCCTTCCATAGGATATGTATTAGAAAGATCAATTTTAAACTTTTTGAAAGAATTGTTTTTTTGTTGAGCGATTTTCTAATATTTGATAATATTTTTAAGTTGGCGTATCTTACGCCCTTCCAAAAATATGTATTAGAAAGATCAATGTCAAACTTTTTGAAAGAATTGTTTTTTTGTTGAGTGATTTTCTCTCATTTGATAATATTTTTAAGTTGGCGTATCTTACGCCCTTCCAAATATTTCTTAAAAATTTAAATTTGTCTCATCTCCTAAGTAGTATATGTGACGGGTTGTGTGACTTTTTTTGTAAACGTAAGAATTCATACAATATCGAGTGATTTTATATCATTTTTTTAACATATGAAGTAAAAAATATATGATTCTTACGGTTTTTATTCTTACGTTTTTGAATAAATCAAGATTTAAAAAAATTTCAAAATTGTAAGGCATTTACACTCAGCCCAAACATAATGAAATAAATCATTAAAAATTAACATTAATTTTAAAATAATTTATTTTATCTTTTATAAAAGAAGCTATATATAGATGATGTCAGATATTCCGCGATTAATTAAACATTGTTTAAATCCTGAATGGAATCAATGGAGTCATAATCAAAGACCTCATAAACGAGTAAAAGAAATTAGAAATAATTATTTTCATGAATAAAAGATTCACTACCATAATGAAATAAAAAATAAAAAAATTTTTAAAAAATAAACTTTAAAAATTCATGTCTTACATTTATGAATAATTTATTTTTATTTTGTATGAAATGAGTGTCAAAACTAACGACGTGAAAACATTAGGATTCACAAACGAGGAAATAAAGGATATATTAGATGAGATGTGTTATGAAGTTAGTAAATATTATTTAAGAAATTGTCAAAAATTTGCCGAGTTATTAAATGATTTAGATTATGATGGAAAAATGAATAAAGATGATGTTATAAATTTCTTATATCCTACATCTGAAGAAGAAAAACCAAAAGAACCTGATGTTTTCCCTGAATATTATGAAGAACGGATTAAAGATGATGATGAATACGATGAAATTGAAAAACTGAAAAAAAATAAGAGATGAAATAGATGAAAAAATTAAGGAATTAAGAGAAGTTGAAAAATATAATGAAAATGAAGTAGAGGATTTAATGAATATCCCAGCTTCAGAATCAGAAGTTCAGAAATCTCATGAAGAAAGATATAAAAATTATGTCTCAGAATCAACACAAAATTTATTAGATGGTGAAATAGACGAAACACTTTCAGAAGAAGGTACTAAATTTATTCGTAAACATAAGTTACAATTTATTGATAATGAAGAATACCCCTGTATCCTACTTTCACCACCTTTAGATTCCAAAAATTCAAAAAAAGCTCTTAAAAACGTGACATATGCAACTAATACGATTAAGAAAGAAGATCATGATATTTACACAAATTATTATTTAAATAAATGCACAGGTGTTGATAAAGTTTTTGATTTATTAGATAAAATATCAAAAGAAAACCATTGGAACATATAAAATTTTATGTGATTGTGGTTTCATTGTTGAAGATACTAATAATGTTTCATATGAAAGAACAGCACCGAAGGAGAGATGAAGTGGAAAGGTCTATACCATTCGTTATTAAGAATATAAAAGATATGAAAACTTATAAACATTATATTTATTCATTTATTTCAGAAAAAATGGAAGCAACCCATAAAACATCTTCTCATCATTTTATAGCTATTCATACATTCCTTTTCAAAGTTGTGAAATTAAATAAGACAGGAATTAGATTTAATGTATCAGGGTACGCATTCTTGAGTAAATTAAAATGTATTCGTCACGTCGCAGATGATAAAAATTTATGTGTTCTTAATTCATTTTATGGGCTTTAAAAAATAAACTTTATTTTTATTTATTTTTTAATTTTTTTATTCTCACATAAATGAACAAAAACGGAACCGCTAAAATGAATGATAATCAAATTAGAGCAGAAGGTAGAAGGTTATTTAAACGCTTCTATAACATTCCTGATGGTGTTAATCCTAAAACTCGTAGAAGCTATTTAAATGAAGCAATAGATGCATATGAAGGGTTTGACATTTCATCAGAAAGTGAGAGATTAGCGAGAATGTTAAATGTTAATATTGATTTCTATTATTGTGATCCTCAACCAGAAGACGTGGACATAAATAAGGTAGACTTTCCATTAGTGGAATCAATAATGATAGATCCAGAATTTGAAACAGTAAATATTTTATTAACACAGAGTCCATGTGGAAAACTTCACGCTGACAGAATAACAGACGTTGAAGCACTCACCGGCTATAAAGTTTGTCCATATTGTAAAGAAGAAGTTTATTCTATCCGTGATGATCCAGAAAGGAAAAACCAAAGAAGATTTTTAAAGCATTGTGAGAAATGTAAAGAAAATAATGGAAGATTAATTCAAGACGTTCAATTGCAAAACACACAACAACCATATGCACCACATATACGAAACAGAAGATATATCAATGGGTATTAGCACATAATTTGCAGGAATATTATAAACCGACAAGATATTATATTACTTTTGACTTTGAAACATTAGAGACTAAAGAAGAATTACAACTTTCTGAGTGTGCAACTTTGAACGCTTACTTAAAACCATTCATGGTATCATCAACGGTTAAATTAAATGATAAAACATATACGAGGAATTTTTGCTTAACTTCAGTGATTCTTTTATTTCTGATTGGATTGAGTTTTTATTTTCAACCTGTTCATTAGTTGCTAAATCAAATATTGAACAATATGAAGAATTATTGAAGTCGCAAACGGACAAACGGCGGGGACTTTGTCTCATACATTAAATGAAAAACAGAAGGAAGCATTTAAAGAACTTCTAGATGAGGAATTCAATAAAGTGAATATCATAGGTTTTAATTCGGGAAAGTTTGATTTAAATTTAATTCTTCATGATTTAAACACTGCAAAATGGAAAATAAAATCAATGCTGGGTTCATCTTCACAATTTAAGCAAATCATTGTAAAGAAAACAAACGTTCCATATGAATTGAGATTTATTGACATCAGAAATTATATAGCGGGTGGGACATTAGACCAATTCACTCAAGATTTCGGAAACAATAAATCACGTGTTAAATCCTTTTTCCCTTATCAATTTATCACGTGGGAAAATTACGAAGAAGAATTATATAAAGTGGAACCATTCACTCAAGATTCATTTTATTCAGCATTAACCAAGAAACTATATCAGATAGTGATTATCAAATATATCTCAATGATACTAAAAACTTTAAGAATAGATTAGAATATTTTATTCATTATTGCAATAAAGATGTTGAAATTATGATTGACCCAATTGATAAAATTATTGAAGAAACATTTGTTTATAAAATTGATATGCTTCATAATCTTTCTTTATCATCAAATGCTTCAATGATTCGTTACGCTTTAGCATATAAAGACTTTAATCCTAATGAAAAATATCCTGAGGAAGAGATAGAATCAAGTTTTGAATTAACGAAAAAGTATTGGAAATATAAAATTGAATCATATAAGAAACAAGATGAAAAAGCAGAAAGGGATACTAAAAATAATGTTTCAATGGATGATTTTCAATACTATCACGATTTAATCCTTTCATCTAAATGCAAAATGTGTGGTAAAGCGTTTACATATGCAAATAAACCAACATTAGATAGAATCGATAATGAAAAACCACATACTAAAGAAAATTGTCAGTTAATGTGTTGTTATTGCAATGTCGTAAAATCAAATAAAGATGAAGATGTTCAACGTTTAAGAATCAATTTAAGAAATTATGCATTAAAAAATAATTTACCAATGACTTTAGATTCAGTTGAAGCTTATCACATTCTCCGTAATGGAATTACTGGTGGTTTATCAAATGTTCAACATAGAGTAAATCTTAAAGGAATCACGCACATTAATAAACTTGCATATAATCCAGAAACTAAAACTGTATCAAATGAGGACACCACCAACATTATGACTCATTTCGTTGGAGTTGACTTTAATTCATTATATCCTTCATCATTTTCATCTAATCCTCATGATTTCATTCAATATACTGACCATAAAATGTATATGCCGGGAAGATTGAATGGAGTTATCATTTGTGATACAGCAACAAAGAAAGCAAAAGCACTGGGAATAATTAAGAAGAAAAATACTTTATTTGTGGCTGAAGTAAAGGGTCACATTGATGAAAAATACATTAATGATTACATTAACTTTTTACCGATAATAAGAAACTTAGATATTATCACAGATGAAAAAACAATTGGCGGTTTTATGTATAATTACATGAAATCAAACAATCTACCAGTTGACCAGAAACAGAGAAAATTAACTCAGTTAGCATCAACACACAACCAATATCAACCATTTTCTTCTTATTATCTTTGGTATCTAATAGATAGATTTCATTTTATCATCGATGATATTCAATCAATTTTAACATTTACGAAAAACACTTGTTTTAATGAATTTGCGAACAAATTTATGAACGAAAGACAAAAGGCTGAATTAGAAGGAAATAAAGGAAAAGGTTTATTTTGCAAAATTTCACTTAATGGATCATATGGTTACGATGCAATGAATACACAAAATTACGCAAAGACTAAAATAATGAATGCACAGAAGGCACGCGTTGCATGTATGTCAAATAAGTTGAAAAATATAAGAGAAATAGGTGAAGATACATATCAAGTGATGCTCAAAGATAGATTTTATAGATGTGATACATGTTTACAAGAGGCATTTTTTACTTTAGATAACGCAAAATACTGGTATTTAGTTTTCATTTATGATTTTATGTATAAATGCATGGATGTTAATCGTTTTCATTTCATTGAAGGTGATACTGATTCATCTTATTGGGCAATCGCTGGCGACCCAAATCTTCCTAACACTCAAGTATTTCAAGCAATTGTTACCGATAAACAATTTTATGATAAAAACATTTTCAAATTCGCACCATTTGATTTCTTCTGTTTTGATGAGAAATTTAAACCTAAATTAAAGAATAAAGCTGAAGAAAAAGCACATGAGAAGAAGTTATTGGGTTTAGCAATTGAGAAACAAGGTGATAACATGGTTGCTTTATGCCCTAAGTGTTATACATCATTCAACGGTTCAATTGATGGAAGTGATTTTAAAAAGATTGCACAAAAAATGAAAGGTGTTAGTTTACGACAAAATAAACAATTAACACCTAAAAATTATTTGGATATAATAAATGATAAAGTGATATTTGATGGTCAGAATATTAATTTACAACTTAAAAACGGGTCAATGACTCGCTTAACAATCGGTAAGACTGTATTAACAGGGGCACACACTAAGGCTGTATGTTGTGAAAATGGATGTTGTATGCCATTTATTTAATAAAATGCCACAGAAGAGACAAAAGGAACCGTTAATGATGCGATTCAAAGAGGTGGGCACCCTTAAAACATTTATTTTATTTTTATATAAATGGATAACACAGATTTAGAAAATTTAATTGATGATTTAGTATTTAATCAAAATTTTCTTAATTATTATGAATTAAAATCATATCTCCAAAAACATAATAAAAATATAACAGGTGATGATATGGAATATTATTATCCATATTATAAAAATGAAATTTTGAAATATCATGATAAAATAATTTCTAAAATTAAAGACAAAATTAAAAATAATGAATATACAAAGGGAAAAACTAAATCACAACTTAAACAGTTGAAAGATTTCAAAAATAAAGTATTAACAGAAGAAGATATTGATGAATTATATAAATTATATAATCCTGAGCCGCAAAAGCCAAAGGAACAAAAACAAAAGAAGAAAAAGCTGAAAACAACACCAAAAGAGAAAGTAGCAAATGTTCAACAGCTAAAGGTGCAAAACGCCCAGGTCCTTCAGACCATAAATGATGCACAAGCCTTAATTTATGATTCATTAGTTAAACCATATTCAGCCCGACTTTTAAATGAAGATCAACTTTTGGAATTCATCCTTCAACATAAACTCGAAGCGGGAAAGTATATCAAACCTTTATATACAGTATATTTAAAACAAATGAATAGAATACATCCAGAATTAATGAAGGGGGGAATGAATTCCAAAACTTCATCATCCAAAATCAAAGCAGATAAAATTAAACCACTTGCAATACCAAAACCTCCAACGACAGTACCTCCTCCTTCAGTTAATCCTTCATCATTCACTTTATTATATCCATTTCAAACATTAAAGAAACAAAAAGATTTTAAAAAGGATTTCAAGATATTAAATAAACCAACTGACCCAAAAATTCAACCGTTAAAGGAAAAATTTAGTCGCCCTTCATTTGCACCATATCCATATTCATACGAAATCGATCATTTAGAATATTCAAAAGGAAACGTTACTTATTTATTTGCCATTAACATTAACACTAGATATTTATATTGCATTCCGGTGAAAGGGAAAACAGAACAGGAAACAAGAAGAGCTATACAATACTTACTAGATCATGAAAGAGTAGATAATATAAGGGGTGATGGTGATAAAGGATTTCAGGCAGCTATGGCTCATTATTTCCCACAAATTAATTGTTACTTCTCATCTTCTCCATATACGTTTCATAATAAAATAGTTGATGTGGTAATGAGAACTCTTAGAGTTGCGTTAGGGGTTAACGGTCAGATATACTGGGATGGAAATCATGACTCCATCATACAACAGTTAGTATATTATTACAATAATACATGGCATAGAACTATAAACATGAAACCAGTGGAAATGAAAAATGATATTTCAAAAGAATGGGAATATATTAGAAAGCAAATGGAAAGGTTAAATGATGTTAAACGTGAACAAATTAATTCAGGGCTCATGAATTTTAAACAAGGGAATAAAGTTTTGATTCATCTCGATTATGGAAAAACTGATAAATCAATGACAAAAAGAAGACGAAGATTTGACACAATAGCTGAATTTGTTAGATATATTAACGGTAATGTATTAGTTGAAGTTGACAATAAATTAATAGAAATTCCAATTTATTTTATTACTCCATTATATTTAAATAATATTTAATTTTTTTATTTCGTAAGAAATGAGTGACAACAAAGCATCCAAGAGTCCAGACGATGAATATAAAAAGAAACTAAACAGAATTAAATCAAAAATATGCTATTACAAAAAGAAGCCGCAATGCGGTGGGGCTGAAAACGATAAAGAGAGGAAAGAAATAATCGAAAAATTAGAAACTTACCGTTCAATCCTTAAACTGAGTGAAGCAAAAAATAAAAGAATTTAATAGAATAAATAAATTGATTGGAAGAGATGAATTTAATAAAGATGAATTTTAAACTCAATCCAAATTTAATTTTTATTCCTCTTCCCGAACCCTTCTAGGTTCTTCTTTCCATCATTACTGCATAACCACATCTTCTCGGTTTTCGTGGTTTGTTGTTTTTAATTCGTTCTTGCATCATTTTTATCATTTCCTCCCTTGTTATGATTCGTGGTAAATTTTGAGCTTGTGGGGTATCCATTTATATAAAAATAAAATTTTGTTATCACTTATTTTATCGTTAATGGTTTCAGGTTATTCAATAATTAATTATTTTTGAATAACTGAAGGTGTCACTACGTCACCATGTGTCACTCGGTTAATTAACTTCTCTGAAAAAATGAGACAACATGACATTTTGACAACACAGCAGGATTAAGGAGGAAGGCACTTATGAAGCATTTTTGAATAACTGAAGGTGTCACTACGTCACCATGTGTCACTCGGTTAATTAACTTCTCTGAAAAAATGAGACAACATGACATTTTGACAACACAGCAGGATTAAGGAGGAAGGCACTTATGAAGCATTTTTGAATAACTGAAGGTGTCACTACGTCACCATGTGTCACTCGAAACAATAAGAATTACCGAAAAAGTGACAAAACAGAGTATATAAGAATTTCCGAAAAAGTGACACCCAAAAAGTGACACTTTCAATAGGGAGTAACACTTAAAAAGTGACAATTTAAAATTCACAATAAATAAAAATAATAAATTTTTTAGTCTATTAAATTATTCTTTTCTTTGAAATCCTCTAAAAATTCTTCGAAATGTTCTAAAATATAATCTGGAGAATTATAACAAAATTCATTAATTTCTAACATATACGTATCTAACAATTCATTTGGAATTTCAAACGATCTTAAATATGTAATTGAATTTTGTATCTTCTCATTTATTTGAGAAAGTTTTTCTTCAGCATTTTCCAATAAAAATCTTAATGGATTCAAATTGGCTTCTTGATTCTGAACAAAATTTAATACTTGGTATAAACGTGATTGAACTTCTCTTTTCAATTTTGTTTTATAATCTGTCAATCGAGGCTCGCGAATTCTAATTGAAGGAATAAAACCTGTTTGAAGTAAATCGTTTTTAATACGATAAAAGTAATTGGGTGCAACTTCTTCTAAAAGATTTTTGACAAAACATCAATTCTTTGATTTTTAACGCAGCCAAAATCGTGATATTTTATCTTTTTAAATAAAGATTCAGAAACGTTATTCACAACGGTTAATTCATTTGGTCTGGCAGCGGCTATCCACATCATAGCCAACAATTCCTTATACAAAATTCAAAAACTTGGGTGCAATCAGTTCTGATTGCACCCAAGTTTTTGAACTTTCTTGAGGGAATTAAAGGGTGAGAGATTTATAGTCTATCTATATATCTCCCACCCTCTAATTCCCTCCCTGACAGCGGGAAATTTTGTCTGAATGTTAAACTATTCAGACAAAGTTTCCCACTGTTTGCGAAGGAATTGTTGGCTATGATGTACTGATTCATGATCAGTACATCATAGCCAACAATTCCTTATATAAAGTTCAAAAACTTGGGTGCAATCAGTTCTGATTGCACCCAAGTTTTTGAACTTTCTTGAGGGAATGGAAGAGTAAGAGGTATACATTATGAATATATACCTCTTACCCTTCCATTCCCTCTCTGACAGCGGAAAACTTTGTCTGAATGTTAAACTATTCAGACAAAGTTTCCCGCTGTCAGCGAAAGAATTGTTCCATCTGGTGCATAGAGTGTGAATCTATGCACCAAATGGAGCAAGTCCCTCGCGAAATTGCCAAAACTTGCGTCGCATTTCAAAGATTGCGACCCAAATTTTGGCGATTTCTAGTAGAGATGGAGTATTTTGAGTCACTGACCTATATGCAGTGGCTCAAAGGGCTCCATCTCTACTTTGAAGCAAGGAAACTTTCCTCGAAATTTTGATAATTTGAAGAAAGTTTTCAAGCAATTAACAAAGGATTACTCGCTATGAGGTAAAAATTCTAGATTTTCACCTCATAGCGAGAGCTTCCCTTTCATTGCTTGAAAACTTTCCCCAGCTTCAAAATTGGGGAAAGGGCTGTAAAGTCGACTCCGATACCAGCAGGTACCAGAGTATTTAAAAGAGAAGCCCTCGTACGAGTTTCTATGAAGACCTTCTCATTCAAGAAGATCTTAATAGAAAATCGTACGAGGGCATTGGAAACTCGCGTCTGGTACATGTTGGTACCAGAGTGTTTGAGATTTGAAGACTCTGGTACTAACATGTACCAGAATTTATGATGAATTTAAGATGGACCATTATAAAATGGTAGCGGTTTGTTTCAAAAAATTTTAGATGAGATTTGCATAGATATAGATTATATGATTTATACATATGAAAAATAATATATAAAAATATAATTTTGAGATAATTATGTAAATAATATTTTAAATATTTGAATTTGAGGTATAATTTTATAGTAAAATATATTATAAAGAGTATTTATATAAATATTGTAAAATAATATAAGTAATAAAAATTGAGACCCCCTCCCTGTTTTTGATGTTTTGTCACTTTTTCGGTAATTCTTATTGTTTCCATTTTTGAATAACTGAAGGTGTCACTACGTCACCATGTGTCACTCGAAACAATAAGAATTACCGAAAAAGTGACAAAACATCAAAAACAGGGAGGGGGTCTCAATTTTTATTACTTATATTATTTTACAATATTTATATAAATACTCTTTATAATATATTTTACTATAAAATTATACCTCAAATTCAAATATTTAAAATATTATTTACATAATTATCTCAAAATTATATTTTTATATATTATTTTTCATATGTATAAATCATATAATCTATATCTATGCAAATCTCATCTAAAATTTTTTGAAACAAACCGCTACCATTTTATAATGGTCCATCTTAAATTCATCATAAATTCTGGTACATGTTAGTACCAGAGTCTTCAAATCTCAAACACTCTGGTACCAACATGTACCAGACGCGAGTTTCCAATGCCCTCGTACGATTTTCTATTAAGATCTTCTTGAATGAGAAGGTCTTCATAG